AAAATTTTTTTTTTCAAATGTTATGTACCTGATTGCCGAAGTTTTCAGTCATTAGAAGTTTTTTTTGGAAAAAGTTACGAATTTCTCGACAACCTTATACATAAACATAAATTTAGTAAAAGTTGAATTCCGAAGATCCGCAATATCAATTCGCTTTATTTGCATTTTGTTTGAGTTATGAAGCGTGTTGCAGATTGCTGGTGCAAACAATGTCAGCGAACTGGCGGTAAATTCCATTTTGCCATCTACAGAGCAGCTGGAAGAAGACTGGAGCGGTATGCTTTAGGAACAATGCATTTTCATTTATTTATATTCGAGCTGTTCCAGTAATGTTGCCTCCATTCGAAAAGAAGTCGTACCCGTTCTATATTCAAGAGGAAATTATTTTGAGTTCGCGAGCATTGCAGTCTCTAGCCGTTTGTCAACTGCTTGTCAAGGTATTGGCAAGAGCTGGCGGCATCCGTCAGAATCCTGAGGGCGTACCGAAAAAAGCCAAGTCGACATCGTCGTTGAAGGTGAGCCTCAATTCTAGTGTGTTTACCAATTGAGCAAGTATTAAAAATGCGCATATTTCAGAGTGATTTTGTAGTCCACTGTGAAGCCATGCAAGCTTCGATACGCAGAGGTGCAGCTAGACTTAATTCACGTTTAAATGAAATTGAAGAGGTGCTCAAAGAGACTGCTATGAGTTTAGTGCCTAAAATTGGAACGGATTGGAACGAGGTAATTCGGTCAATGTTCTTCATCTTTTTCTATGATATCTCTTTTTAGGAATTATCTGAGTTATTTGCTTCTCAAAACGTGGTCGTGTGTGATCGGGTATACAAGTCTTATTTCAACTCATGTGCCGATATTCGTTACTTTCTGGAACATACTATTGTTTGAGTACGTTCTTTAAATTGAGCGTTACCATACACTTATTATAAAAGGTTATTCCTAGCAGGCCCTTCAACAGTTCAGGCAGGGTGTACTGAGATAAGATTTTTGTAGGGTGTACAACTTAATTCGGTCCGTTTTTTTTGATTGAAAAACGCATTTATTTGAATCATAAAATGAATTAATACCTTATTCAAAGTATTGGCCATCGCTAGCC